CAAAATATTCAAAATATTTAGAGGTGTGCGAATCAAGCATTTGCATGGTCGAATCGAATCAAATCGAATTTTTATAACATGTTCGGAATCGAATCGAATCTGAAATTTTCACTTCGAATCCAATCGAATCGAATCTCTTTAATTCGAATACGAATCGAATTTAAATCAAATTTTCCCAGATTAACATTACATTAGGCGATTAATTCGAAATCGAACCATTGTTGATTCGAAATTCTCGAACTATTCGATTTCGAATCTTGCAGATTCGAAAACGAATCGAATCGAATCTACTGTGATTCGATTCGATTCGATTCGAATTCGAACTATTCGCACATCTCTACAAAATCTGTATATATTTGTGACACACCAAGTCGCAACGAAAAGATTTAGAATTTGTAATTTTTTTGTCGAAACATTTTTGCGTAAAGTGCATTAAAAATTTTTTAATATTGCGAGCGTTAGAGTTAAATAACGTTGAAGTTATATATAGAATATATATGTCAAAAGTATAACGAAAAGGAAAAGTCGGATATTAAAACAGAGAGAGAGAAGAACCAGGGCGGATAGAAATTAATTGATTTTACTTTTGAAAAACATCAGAGAGCATGCCGAAAGCATATGGAGAGCATACACAAACAGTACGTATCACAGATCGTATCACGAGCGCCTCGAGATACAATCGGAAATTAAGAGATAAAAAAAAGAGAGAGAGAGAGAGAGAGCGAGAAAGAGGACAGCGCGCGAAGCGTGCTCCGAAGCGGCGACGAGTCAAGTGCGCTCGCCGAGAGCGAGCGGCCGACACGTCGTCGGCGAGGAGGCCCCGCGTCCTTGCTACAGCTCCCCTACTCCGGACTCCGGAGTTCTCTCCTCGGGAGAGAAGAGTGGGAAATCCGTCCATCCCTACCACCATCGGCCTCACCACCGGAGGGTTCTCCTCCGTCCCACCACTGCCGCCGCGCGCTATGTAAGAGCCTGCACATGTTACCCCGCGTTTCAGTCACGCAGCGGCACTCGCGAGCGTTGTTTCGCACACTGGTAGCGCGGTACCGAATCGCTTGGCGAGGGGCAGGAAGGGGCGATAAAACGCTCTTTCTCGCTCTTTCTCTCTCCACCTCTCGCGGCACGGAGGACACAGAGGGAGAGAGAGACACCCACGTAAACTACGGACACTGCGCGCACAGGTACCGCGAGTAGGGGGAGGCCCGCGGGGTGTGTGTGCGTGCGTGTGTGTGTATGTGCCGTGCGTGCGCGTGTATTGTGCGCGCGTGTGTGTGTACGTTACGTGTACGCGTGCGCGCGCGACGAGTTCCCTTTTCAGTGCCTCGCGCGGAGCCGCCGCGACCTCGTCGTCGAATCGCCACGTTCGCCGAAGGCCGAAGAGCATAGTTAATCGTCGGGTGGAGTGATACGAGGAGAGGAGGAGAGTCCGCCGCCCGTTTCCGTGCCCACTCAGCGTCCCGTATCAATCAGAGCACTCTTCCCTTTTTCCTTCATTTTATCTTTTTTTTCCACCCTCGTTTTTTTTTATATATATACTTTTGTACGTACGCGAGAACCAACCTCGGCGCAACGCGCCGTGTCGAATTACTACTCCGAGTGGGGAAAAAGTACTTGGCCGCGCCGTCCGCGATTGACCTGTCCGCACCCCCTCGTCCTCTCGGCGCGAGTGAGTTTTGCGAGAGAGAAGTGTGAGAGAGAGAGAGGGAGAGAGAGAGAGAGGAGGCAGAGAGTTCCGTTTTCTCACGCGGAACTCTCGCGCTGTGTGGATAAGTCGCGACAGGTGCGAGGAGGAATTTAAAGGGAGCGACTACGGGACGTCGTCGTCGGGATAGCGGAGAGACGTGCGACGTGTGCACCGTGGAGAAACACCACGTGAGTATCCCGAGAATTCCGGAGCGCGGATTGTTTCATGTATATAGGCTCCGACCTTCCGCGGCCTCCTCGCGCGGAATGATCTTGACACACGCGCGTGGGTGCGACGAGACGACACGTAACTATGTTGCACGCGCCGCATACCTCGCATTGCGTAATCGCGCGTTTTTTTTTTTTCGAACGACGCAACAACCGAGAAGGAAATATCCGTGAAAGTCGCGCGGAGCAAAGTCGAGCGATCTCGCGCGTGCTCGAAACGCGTTAATACTCGTTATCGCTTCGCCGCGGCGATTAATGATCGTCGGGTTTTACCGATGGACTTCGAGGCAAAGAGCGACTTCTTGCGCGCGGCTTTCTGCTTTCAATTCGCGTCGCGTATTTTTCCGATTTCGCGCAGAAGTCGCGCTCGGAACATCAGGCGTGATATATACTCGCGCCACTCGATACCTCACCGCGCTTATCTTCCCCGCTGTTGTCATCCACGAACAGATAAGCTCGCGGCCGAACTACAGGCTTACGTAAAATTACAACCGCCAGAGACCAAATTGATTGCGCAGAAGGCTGACCGAGTGACATTTCTCGCCCTCGGCGGGTGGGGCTCATCTTGTCGCAAAACTCCAGTTCAACGGGAACTTATGGAGCATCTCGAAAAATTATTTGAATGACGATAGACGGAGAGGGGGAGGGAGAGGTTGTATTATCGAGAAACCGTCCATCAATTGTTATCGCGTAGGAGACGGCCTTAGTATCGGCGCGGCGCGGCGAGTGCGCGTGATATAACGAAATCGTGTTTTCGCGGTTCCGCGATACCATTTCTTTAACGCGCTAAAAATAATTGGGAGTGGCGTATTTAGAATTCGCGCGTGTATTCGAATCGCGCGCGCGATCGGGTACCGTTCACGAATAATCGCGCTCTCGGGCGGCACGAGGAATGAGCCGCGCGGCCGTCACGCGCGACGCGGGTGCGTAAGCAGCCGCGGTCTCACGCGTGCGGCACGCCGTGACGCCGCGCCGCTCCGCGCCGCGCCGTAGCGCGCGCATGCACGCGGTCGCGTGCTGTTACGTGACGACCGCGGTGCCGCGGCAGCTCGAGTTCCGTGCCACGCCGACGACGATATATGTATAATACGTATACGTACATATATCTGCGACGTAATACACCCGCCTGCGTCGCGCTGCTGCTCGATTTTACTCCGTTCCGCGGCCGCAATTATGTAGCGCAAGAACAGGTGACGACAGTCGCGGCCTTGATACCATATCGTGTAGCCTCACGAAATGAACTCGGCTAATGGTGGACATTCATATATCCTTCCGTCCGAATATTTTTCAAAACGAATTCGGCCGCGCGATCGACTCGAGTTGCCTCGTACATCAGCAATATCCTGGAACTTTTGATGTAACGCCTATAAAAGTATTGCCACGAAAGTATATTTTGATATCTAAAATGTTCACAATACGCTTAAAAATAAAATATAGATCGAAGATAAAGGAAAATTGAAATAACATAAAATATTCTAAAACAGAAAATAGTATATTTTTAGAACGTTTGAAACTTTTATTATACATCATATAAGGGTTTCAGAAGTTATAACATTTAATAAATGTTTCGAGATTCTCGCCCTATATGTGATATAACGATTTGTCTTGGCCACATCGCTAAACATAACGCGGTCATCGCGATAACGTTGAAGAGGATATAAACTGCTGTTTTTATTTTCCGGATTAATTCTTGTCTACCGCGCGCATGTCGTAATTCTCGTGATGGTAAACGAGCTATAACCGGATAAATCCCTATATCATTCTTTCGCGTTTTAGGCGAGGTAACAAAATTCGCCTCGCGTTCATCCTATAGTTAAATATGATGTTAAATAAATTTCCTGTTATTTGTCCGTTAAACCATCTCGTGGCGAGATTACGCTCCCTGGAAAAACAAAAATGTAAAACGTGATTTTATTTATCAACATAATGCTAAATACGAGCTAACCGCTACTGTATTTCCGACTCACTCGTATCGGAAATTTCTTTCGCGCGCGAACGTGGATATAGAGTTTAGGTATCGAATAACTGGTTTGCGCGCGAGGTAACGCAAAAGAGGAGGGAGATAAATAAATCCATTTCTTCTCTCAATCCATTTAAATTCGCTTTCCCTCTCGGATTATGAGAGACAGCGAAACACACACGCACGCCCGGTCGATCGGTTTAATTCCATTAGGGCGTCGTCGCCACGCTCTCGCTCGCGCTGCACGCGGAGGCAAGACCGATTAATTTCTTCAAGGCTTAATCCGTTGAGGACAACAATCTGGAGCTAATGCCGCGTGACTCACGGCTCCTCCGCGTGCGTTCACTTTACACGAAACGCGCGGCTCATTACGGCGAGTTACGTTAAAGGTCGCGATAGACCGACGCGACGGAGAGCCGGTTTTTATAGCGTCGTGATTCGCGATAAGTGTTTGCCATCAAGATACACGTGTCGACAAACGCGGTCGGTTCGCGAGATCAGCTTATAATAACGTTGTCTCGCTTTTCGAGGAAATCACGCGATCGACTTATCGCGCGACGCGACAGTACTCTCGAATAATTTTTCGCAATGTTATTATTTTGTCACGATACAAGCGGAATGACTCACTCAATCACTCTCGACGAGGATGAAACGAGCAGTGACGTTCCGCAAAAGCGGTATTTTTTTCCTCCTCTTCCTCCGATATCGTCGTGAAATTTCTAAACAAAACGGCGCTTATAGCGAGAATGAATCGCGGGGGCTTTTGCGAGCGGATACGCAAATTTATTTGCACAGCTGGTACACATCTATCAATCGTCGCGCGGCACTCTCGCGCGTGTACCGCGTTCGCGCTCCCGCTTGCGTTGCCGGCCGCCGCGCCGCCGGAAAAAAGGCCTGATGTACCGTAAATTCCGTTCGGCTGCGCCGGGACTCCGGGCGTGCGTTGTTAAAGCATTAACGGGATAACACGTCGCTTATCGAGTAAACGCTCCGCGATGTATATGTATCCTCCTCGCGGTACGCGTACGCGCTTTTCCGGAGCCGAGCAAATTGCTCGCCCTGGCTCGACTACCGAAATCAGATTAACGTCGATTTCCCGTTCATCGATCTTCCCCCTCCCCCCTCCCCCCCCGCGTTTTCTCTTTCTCTATCCATCCATCTCTCTATCTCCCTCTCTCTATCTACTCGCCTCCCCCCCTCCCCTTCTCATCCTCTCCCGACTTCTTTCGTTTCCGTTGTAAACAACCGGGCGCACGTTCTGTGTGTGACCGTCCGTCACGGAATTAATCACAGTTTAATTGGAAAATCTCAGCGCGCAAATACCGTCGCCCGCGGTAGGCAAATACATGGGTCATCGGAATCGCGGTGGCAGTCACGTAATATGCGAACATATCGACGTCGGCCTGGACGATGCCGCTCGCGCTCGCACAGTCGAATCGATCGACCCACCACCTGAAGTGAAAACAATCCCTGGGCGCACCTTTCGGGTGATCTTTGAGCGCGTTATCGAAAACGAGCACCGCGCGCCCGATCTTTGATCTTTACTTTCTATGATGCTAAAAGCTTGTGCTAATCATGATGAAACGGTTTCAATCTCATTCGATGCCATTTAGATACACACGTCAGCCGCAATTATAATTAAATACTATAATTATACTAAACCTACACACGTAAAACGAACAAGATGATTACGTTGACGTTAATAGAGTCTGAAATAACTCGATTTCGTGATTACGATAAATTTTACTTTATTTAATGTAAGTATAAGGATGAAGATATCGCATTCACTCCGACTTCCCGGGTATAAGTAACGTTGCTGCAAGTATCAATTCGCTAACTCGGCGTGAAAGTCAAATGTCTCCAATGTGATATCATGGAAAGTCTCTTTCTCTCTCTCCCTTCCTCCCCCCTCTTTCTCTCCGTTTGAATGGCAACTTTTTCGACTCGAACGCGCGCGAGGAACACTCATCCATCACTGGTAAAATCGCTACTACTAGGCGACGTTTCCGCGTGAGAAGCGCGAAATATCCTTTTATGTGCGACGCGCGCACGCCTCTGTAACTCGCGCCGGCAGGAGCCGAGCAGGAGATTACTTCACGTTTTCCTCTCTCTCTCTCTCTCTCTCTCTCTTTCTCTCTGTCCCTCTTGGCGACGCCTTCATTAATTTCGCAGCTGCTTCGCCTAAGAATAACATTGTCGAACGAGAACGGAATACCGACTCGCGCTCCCTCAATAGAGGATCGTTAATCTTCCATTCTCGCGAGAGTCGCGCGGCTCGCGAATTCGCTTTTCCGAGTCTCCGTTATATCGGTGAAGGGGTTATCGCTGCATTCTTCCTTTTCGGATTACGACGATGCGTCGTTTGCGTCAGCAAGGGTCCCACCGATCGATTTCATGATCATCTCGCGCGACTCTGGCGAGACTTTATAACCGCTCAGTCTCTGTTTAGAATCGACATTTCATATTTATGGCTCATCGACAATCTTTTTATATGTGTGCAGGATTGTTGAAGGAGTGTTTTATTTTATTTTAATCTCTTTTTGCAGACGCACGACAAACTCGGCGTCGTAGATTCGGTGTTCGCGAAATTGCCTCATTAAATTCGTATTACTGTCTACCGCTTGTCGTCGTATGCCGTACTTGTGAATCTACATTTTCACATAATAAATATTCCAATTAGATGATTACGACGTCGCATCACAACGCAGAATAATAATTTCGAACTCAAAATGCATGTGAATCTCGATAGATGGATGTTTTTGTATGTTAATTATGATTATTATCATATCGTAAATATATTTCAACGATTATTGATATTGACGGACGAGACTCGTACCTTTATTGGGATAATAGTAACCAGAGAGACGAGAGACGACCGGCAAAGCGAATTATGAAAATTGTCGGAAATTTCTGCCAGTGTTTTCATTGTGCGCGACGTTTTACCCGCCCGGTTATTGCAGGCACGCTGCATTAAGATCCAGCGGGTTGTGACGTGAGCGAG